CCACAAAAGTACTATTGATTTTCCTATTTTTCTCCTATTTTTTAATACAAAGTTTCCTATTTTTCCTATTTTCTCAAGGCTGAGTCTCCTATTTTCCTATATTTTTGAGCAACCATGCCGCTGGACACCCTGCTTATTGCACATGACATGTCTCCCCAATTGAACAGTTCTCTACCCAATATTATACCTCGAGTCTTCGTCCCGTACCACACATGCTGGCTTTCGGAACGAAGATGCTGAGCAAGAACAAACCAGTGCAAAAGTTAATTGCAAAATACGTATTCGACTGCTATGAGAAAAGAAGATCATTAGTTCTTTAGGTTAACATTGATTATAGTTCCACTAGTGTGCAATTTGTGTTATGATTCTAAATTATTTGAATAAAGTCAATGTACATAGGACTGTATAAGACTCCAAATAAATAAAGCATTGTCATTGTCATTGCTGTGAAAGAGAATGCCCTCTACCCTGAACTTCAGGAAAAATCTCCCGATTCAAATCCTGACGGGCGGGCATAAGAACTAGCAGAGCCAAATGCATTCGAGGTAGATGACCTTCGCAGAGTGCTAGTGAGAGTAGACCTCACTAACTAACTAACATGGGGAACTTGCTCGAGTGCCTTTACGATGGCAGTATAGTAATTCCTGATTTTTAACATTATGTTTTTAGTATTCGGAGATGAATGAGTCGGTCCAACGTCAGATACCTGAGATATATAGCCAATAATGCCATAACATAAATATTAGATAAATCAATCGAATTTCCCATTTAGTGAGGTCTACTCTAACTAGCACTCAGCATAGGTCTTCTCCCTCGAGTCCATCTGGCTCTGCTTCTGGTGCTCGCCCGTCTGGATTGGAACCGGGAGCTTCTTCCTGAACTTCAGGGTAGCGGACACTCTCATTCTCTGCGTCTTCGTTCCGAAAACCAGCATGTGTTTTACGAGACGAAGATTCGAGGACAAGACCGGGTAAAGAACAGTTCAATCGGGCAGGCATGTCATGTTCCGAATAAGGGTTTGTGTACGAGTCGTGAAGTCCCTTCGTAGTCTCCTCTATTAAATCTTCGGTCCAGAAAACCTCATCACTAACGACAGACTACTAGCTCCTGACAGATTTTGTAAGAAAGATGAAAACCTCTGTCGTTTCGGTTCTCTGACAATGTTTCGCCTTGGCATTCTCTTTGAAAACACTCCTCCACTTGCAAAGTTTTCAAAATGGTCGCCCAAGGAAATCAAAGACTCGAACCAGTCCACTTCAACTGCAAGGCCCGCAAAGCATTGTAGAACCAAAAATAAATTCGCGATACAGCGAAAAATAATTATCAGCACGATGAAAAAATAATTCTCAATACTTGTATTAAAAATAATTCGCGGTACCACTAAAAAATTATTTGTGGTACGCATGAAAAATTTATTCATACAACAACATGAAAAAAGTAAACAGCCTAAATTAAAAAATAATTCATGCAGCTAAAAAAAAATAACAACACATTAAAAAAATCCTGTGTAGTGATGACAAAAATACACAACGGGTCCATAATAAATGCTGCACTGGCCGAAAAAGTCACTTGTGATGCCATTTTATTATATTAATTTTGACCAGAACGGGCCTCCATAGCCCGAGATTTTCCAAACGTTTTCTGTAATTTCTCAAAAAGTTGCTCAAAAGATGCTCAAAAGTTGCTCGAACAAACAAAAACTTTTTTTGGTCAGGTGCTATAAAATACGCAAAGCCGTACAACAAAAATAAGATTTCTAAGCATTTTTGTGCAATTTTGCGGCGTAACCAGCGTTACTAAATAACTTTGCCCTCGACATGAGCCAATAAAATTGTTGAATGACCTTCTTCTCCCGAGACACTCAACTGACCTCAACTGACCTTAACTGACTCAAGTCAGTCGAGTGTGAATCTGCGTCCACCATTTTGAATTTTCTCTAAAACCACTGACGTAGCAGCCCGGCTACTTTTATCTTGCGCCCATGATCTGCCCCAGGGGAAAGGATTTGGCTCAGCCTCCTCCTCAGGCGCTTCAATAGGGACCTTAAGATACTCTGGACGCGGCCGAGGAGGACGTCAAGTGGAAGTGAAATGTTCAATTCTTGGAACTAATTAGCATAATGCCACAGCGTCGACCTGAAGTCGCGACGGTGAAAACTAGAAGTTTGGCCGCCTCTTAAAACGGTGAGTTGGTTTTCTTGTTTTCAGTGCAGAAATTGCTTTTCGTACAGGATTTTCGATCCGTTTTACTTCAAGAGACACATTTAAGTGTTTTTAGTGAGGTGTTCTCTCAAGATTGCCTCTTATTTTTTTGCTATCAAGCCTTTTGGGTTCAGTGTTTTGGCGGCAACTGAGAATGAAAGTGCTGAGTCGTTCGACACAAATGTAACACTATAACTGCTTGTTTTTAAGGGGACAACGTTCTCGCTTTGGGATAGTATTTGAAAACTTTATGAGACAAGAAGTGGAATAAAAATTGTTGAAAAACAAAAAATCTAGGCTTGTAATAAACTTAAACGTGTCGGAGAAAATTGAGATCTTGAACAAGACGCCATGGTTCATTTATTAACTTTTATAATTTTATTTTGTTTACTTTCAGTTCAGCGATGGAGCGGTCTGAAGACCAAAATCTCGCCTTAGTACGGGAAGTTCTCGTAACAGAACCATATCGTTTTAAAGCAAGATCTAGAACAACGGAAAGCGAAAAAACAAGCAAATAGCTGATAACCTGAACTCCGATCATACCCTCAAGTTTCCCTCGAAGAAATTCGGTTTTTTTTAGAGAAACTGGAGTCATAGCCGGCAGCACAAATTTTTCTTCCAATAAAAGATCGTTAAGGTATCAATCAAGCAAGACTTCACGAGTTATGGAATTAAAACACGAAAGCATTACTTTATCCTCTCTCGTCAGGCGAGCACTCAACCCAACCTGCTCAATCTTAATTTGTTTTTCCCGCGAAGGTGGTGGCGTCCTCGCTCCAGGCTTTCTCCGTTCTCTTTACCGCCGCGTCCAGGGTATCTTAAGGTCCCTGTTTGTAGCGTTGCAGTTCTGTCCTCCGTTGCAGTTTGGTCCTCTCACCTATCAACCAATAGAATGGGGTTTTATTTCTTCCAATCAAAGTGCGTTGTGATCGTGTCTTCTTCATGTGACTTCCCAACTAGGGGAGGGCTGTAGTATGAGTTTTGTTCGTTTCAGTGTCCTGATCGTGTGGAAGACTTGTATATGAAACAGTACTGTATCACAGGCAGCCCAAGCTCAAGTCACGTGAAAGGATTAGACTAATTATTAGCGGTGTGCGAGCCGGGACCCGGACGTGACTGTTCAACGAAAGCGGTATTGGGTTACATGGCGGCCGTGAATTTATAAAGGATTTGTATGGGAATCCACGTTATAGATTTAGGAAGATAAATACTCGTAGAAATTCTCAATAAAAAACGTCTTACCTTATTTACATGGTGTGTTCTTGCTTGCTGTGTGGTTATTTTCCCGATCCGGTGCGATTTTAGCGATTTTTTTCATTTCTGAGTTTCCACTACTAAAGAGAGAGCAAGGCCGAACACTTCCAATCTGGACAGCCCGCCGAACGAAGCCAAAAATTCCAGGTTAAAATATCCCCACGGCCAAAATTCCACCGCAGAATCCAACTACAAAGGTTAAACTTTCATTTCAACTTTCTAGCCACGCAATCGCATCCCTGCGAGCGACGCCAGGCGGCAGTTTGTTTCCCCGATGAAACAGTAAAACGTTGGGCCAGAACCGCGTACAAATCCACCACGACACAACGACCGTTGAAATCGGCTTGGTAACCTCGTCACGTTGACAAACAAAGACTCACGGGGTACACTAACGCAAATTGTCAACATGAATTTCTGTTCTCATCCTGGGTTAGTGTACCCCGTGAGTCTTTGTTTGTCAACGTGACGAGGTTACCAAGCCGATTTCAACGGTCGTTGTGTCGTGGTGGATTTGTACGCGGTTCTGGCCCAACGTTTTACTGTTTCATCGGGGAAACAAACTGCCGCCTGGCGTCGCTCGCAGGGATGCGATTGCGTGGCTAGAAAGTTGAAATGAAAATTTAACCTTTGTAGTTGGATTCTGCGGTGGAATTTTGGCCGTGGGGATATTTTAACCTGGAATTTTTGGCTTCGTTCGGCGGGCTGTCCAGATTGGAAGTGTTCGGCCTTGCTCTCTCTTTAGTAGTGGAAACTCAGAAATGAAAAAAATCGCTAAAATCGCACCGGATCGGGAAAATAACCACACAGCAAGCAAGAACACACCATGTAAATAAGGTAAGACGTTTTTTATTGAGAATTTCTACGAGTATTTATCTTCCTAAATCTATAACGTGGATTCCCATACAAATCCTTTATAAATTCATGGCCGCCATGTAACCCAATACCGCTTTCGTTGAACAGTCACGTCCCGGCTCGCACACCGCTAATAATTAATCTAATCCTTTCACGTGACGTGAGATGAAAAAAATCGCTAAAATCGCACCGGATCGGGAAAATAACCACACAGCAAGCAAGAACACACCATGTAAATAAGGTAAGACGTTTTTTATTGAGAATTTCTATGAGTATTTATCTTCCTAAATCTATAACGTGGATTCCCATACAAATCCTTTATAAATTCACGGCCGCCATGTAACCCAATACCGCTTTCGTTGAACAGTCACGTCCCGGCTCGCACACCGCTAATAATTAATCTAATCCTTTCACGTGACGTGAGCTTGGGCTGCCTGTGACGGGTAGTACTTGGTGTAAGACTGCCCAAAATGTCCCGGGCCACCGCCCACCGCTGTCAGTGCTGTAGTGGCTGTACCCTAGTAGACACAATGATACCTAGTAGCCGTAGTAGCTGTAGTAGCTGTAGTAGCTGTAGTAGCCGTAGTAGCTGTAGTAGCTGTAGTAGCTGTAGTAGCTGTAGTAGCTGTAGTACCTGTAGTACCTGTAGTAGCTGTAGTACCTGTAGTAGCTGTAGTAGCTGTAGTAGCCGTAGTAGCTGTAGTAGCTGTAGTACCTGTAGTACCTGTAGTACCTGTAGTACCTGTAGTACCTGTAGTAGCTGTAGTAGCCGTAGTACCTGTAGTAGTTGTAGTAGCCGTAGTAGCTGTAGTAGCTGTAGTACCTGTAGTACCTGTAGTAGGTGTAGTACCTGTAGTACCTGTAGTAGCCGTAGTAGCTGTAGTAGCTGTAGTACCTGTAGTAGCCGTAGTAGCTGTAGTAGCTGTAGTACCTGTAGTAGGTGTAGTAGCCGTAGTAGCTGTAGTAGCTGTAGTACCTGTAGTACCTGTAGTAGCTGTAGTAGCTGTAGTAGCTGTAGTAGCCGTAGTACCTGTAGTAGCTGTAGTAGCTGTAGTAGCTGTAGTACCTGTAGTAGCTGTAGTAGCTGTAGTAGCTGTAGTACCTGTAGTAGGTGTAGTAGCCGTAGTAGCTGTAGTACCTGTAGTAGCTGTAGTAGCTGTAGTAGCCGTAGTAGCTGTAGTAGCTGTAGTACCTGTAGTAGCTGTAGTACCTGTAGTACCTGAAGTAGCTGTAGTAGCCGTAGTACCTGTAGTAGCTGTAGTAGCCGTAGTAGCTGTAGTACCTGTAGTACCTGTAGTAGGTGTAGTACCTGTAGTACCTGTAGTACCTGTAGTAGCCGTAGTAGCTGTAGTAGCTGTAGTACCTGTAGTAGCTGTAGTAGCTGTAGTAGCTGCAGTACCTGTAGTAGGTGTGGTAGCTGTAGTAGCTGTAGTAGCTGTAGTAGCTGTAGTAGCCGTAGTAGCTGTAGTAGCTGTAGTAGCTGTAGTAGCTGTAGTAGCTGTAGTACCTGTAGTACCTGTAGTAGCTGCAGTAGCCGTACTAGCTGTAGTAGCTGTAGTAGCTGTAGTACCTGTAGTACCTGTAGTAGCTGTAGTAGCTGTAGTACCTGTGGTAGCTGTAGTACCTGTAGTAGCCGTAGTAGCTGTAGTAGCTGTAGTAGCTGTAGTACCTGTGGTAGCCGTAGTAGCGATAGTAGCTGTAGTACTTGTAGTACCTGTAGTACCTGTAGTAGCTGTAGTAGCCGTAGTACCTGTAGTAGCTGTAGTAGCCGTAGTAGCTGTAGTAGCTGTAGTACCTGTAGTAGGTGTAGTAGCTGTAGTACCTGTAGTAGCCGTAGTAGCTGTAGTAGCTGTAGTACCTGTAGTAGCTGTAGTAGCTGTAGTAGCTGTAGTACCTGTAGTAGGTGTAGTAGCCGTAGTAGCTGTAGTAGCTGTAGTACCTGTAGTACCTGTAGTAGGTGTAGTACCTGTAGTAGCTGTAGTAGCTGTAGTAGCTGTAGTAGCTGTAGTAGCCGTAGTACCTGTAGTAGCTGTAGTAGCTGTAGTAGCTGTAGTACCTGTAGTAGGTGTAGTAGCCGTAGTACCTGTAGTAGCTGTAGTAGCTGTAGTAGCCGTAGTAGCTGTAGTAGCTGTAGTACCTGTAGTAGGTGTAGTACCTGTAGTAGCTGTAGTAGGTGTAGTAACTGTAGTAGCTGTAGTAGGTGTAGTAACTGTAGTAGCTGTAGTGTCTGTAGTAGGTGTAGTAGCTGTAGTAGGTGTAGTACCTGTAGTACCTGTAGTAGCTGTAGGAGCCTTAGTAGGGGCGTCCAGTGGTGTAAGGAATTGTAAAGATTCCTTTCTACCTTCCAGCCAATTTTCCAAGCATTCATATCGACTAGTCTCACTTTCAAGTGCCGCTGCACCGCAACATGAAGGAATCTAGACCCAGCAATATGAGGTTCATGGGATCGTTATTAGCAGCAGAGTGGCCAATGCGTATTATAAAAATTTGATGAATAAAAATACGAAAGCTGTTGAGTATACATTTTTGCCGAAAATTAGCTTAAGCGGGCTTCAAAGCTATTTCGCATTATTTCGGGTTCAACGGGCTTATCGATTTAGTCAATCGACCAAACTTGGAGGATTATTAGGAGTAAGCCAGTAAAACCGAGTCCATACTCAAAGGGATTAATATAAACTACGGTCGATTTAATGGGCGAGAGAATATATAGAATATAAATGTAGGTATGTGAGTCCTGAATGGAACCTTCTACAAAGTACGATTTGCACAAGCTTATGAAAGGAACGTCAAGGTTCACACATTTGATCAAGTTAGTGATATATAGAAATATTTTCTAGCTTTTTATCTTTTTACGCGACCGCTCTTGTTCTTACGACTGGGGTGTCCCATGCTCAATTGCACAAAATTGACCCGGCGAGGCTACCAGGGGCACCCAAAGACAATTTTCTGCGAAATATCTGTTCGGAGAAGCAAATATTGCCAAGAATTTTCTTTTGCTTGAGGAAGACTAAAAATTTCTAGATGGACCTTCCATTCATAAACAATTTTCGATGCTTTATACCTAATAAATTCCCTACGAATTCTGATTTTTAATGTTTCAAAATCAGTTCCCACGTTACAATATTTTTATTTTATTTTATTTTTTTGGATTCTAAAATGTGATGGGGAGAGGTAACCAGAAAAATCATCACTTTCGTAAATCGTTAAATTGCAACTAAAATTTTCGAAAAAGTAACACTGAAGCCTTTGTAATTTTGAAAACTGACTTAAGTTCCTCTAGGATGACCGATCAGACCGGTAGGGCTTTCCATAAGTTGTTCGAGATTTTCCAAAAAGTTTCTCATTATTTCTCAAAGAAATGCTCAAAAGTTGCCAAAAACAATCAAAAGTTGCTTATTGCAACAAAACTTACTCAAAAGTTGCTCGAAAAACAAAATGTTTGTTTGGTCTGAAGTTATGAAAATATGCAAATTGTACAAACAAAAGTACCATTTCTTAGCATTTTTGTGCAATTTTTCAGCGCAACCAGCTTTGCTTAATAACTTTGTCCGGAGTTAAAATCAAGAAAGAAATGTAATGAGCCAAGAAAAATGCTTAATGACTTTCTTCACCCGAGACACTCGAGTCAGTCGAGTGAGAATCTGCGTCAATCATTTAAAATTTTCTGTAAAGACCGCAGACTTATCTTGCGCCCTTAATGTGCCTCAGGGGAGGAGTATTTGTCTCCTTTTTTCTACTGGTAATTTGCAACTTGTATACAAAACATTGTGAAATATGGAACAAAGACTAATTTAAACACTAAGAGCTGCTCCGATATCACAGAGTTAGATGACAAAGTTCTAGAGAAATCTTAATAAAAAAGCCAATAGTTGCTATATAGGAAAGAAGTTGTTCGAAATACGAGAAGTTGCCGAAAAGTTACCGAGCAACTTGTGGCCTGCTTGTGGGAAACTCTAATGACCTAGACGATAACAATTTTGTATTGCCGCTTAGAATGCATTTCTAGGGCGCAGAAAAGAAAACTCTGGACAGCGCAAAAAGTGTTTCCAACGTACTTTAAAGGAGACAGTTGTTGGGTGCCCCTGAGGCTTTCACCCTTTACTATGTGTTTTTCTGTTTCTGTTCAGCTCTGTTTATGACTGATGGAATTCTGTTGAAGCTGAAACTTTTTATGGCTGTGAAAATAAAGCTTATTGTTGTTGTTGTTCTTCTATGTTGACAGACCAGTATATAAGCAGACGTAGACTGAGTATCAGGCCTTCTCAACCTTATCTCTTCCCCCTTTCGCCCAGAACCGCCTAATACTCAAAATTAAAGCGGACATGGCACGATGAAGCTTTTGGTATGAAGAAGTACGTTAACTCGACCAAAGGTGAAGAAATTTAAGAATAAGAAATCACACCATAATAAATGACGTTAACTAAGCCACCTTTAAATCACTTTTCCCTGTCTATATCAAAGCCTTTGATCCTTAGGTAGATTATGGTACAACTGTATCTATTGGTTGAGATTTGAGGCACTTTCGGGCTAGAAAAGTTCAGCTATTCCACACTTGGTAGTATTGTTGGGCTAGAGTAGTGTACTATGTTGAAAGACAAGCCCTGTTGGTGGGTTCCCTAGTATTAACATGCGCAAGGATCTAGTTCAAGAGGGTCCAGTGGTGCCTAACCCTGACCCAAAAGAATGACTTGTCTTTGTTTCCCGCCTCCAATTATGAAAGACCTTGCAAGCAGCTCCTACACTACTCGTTCATGACATCACCCATTATTATAACCAGTTAAAAAAGTAATTTCCTGCAAACAAAATAAGTGAGTTCCTCCATATCTAGTAGGCGTCTCTCTTCTACAATAGGAATATTGGCTTGCCCGCTCTATACCCACCTGATTGACTCATGTAGAAACAATTACGTGTTCAAACTGAAGGCGAGCTCTCCATTCAGCAAGTTTAATAGAGCGCTACACCTCCGTTAGCGATTGATGAAGTAGAGAAAGTCCAGCGCTGCGCTGCGACTGCCCTCTGAATTTTTGGCATTGCTTGTGTCTTGGGTGTCTTGTCATCTTATTACATTGCCTTCCCATCCAGCCCAGATCTAGTTTCCAGTCCTCTTTTGGGGTGCTTGGCCACTATATGTCGCGTTATACTACGCATTAAAAATGTTTTTACAAGCTTAATTACTTCAATTCAGTCCAGTGAATGCCTTTAGTTGTAAAAAATGTCCAAGTTTGAAAAGACAATGGTGTCATCGGAAAACTGTTATAAGCCACCTTAAATAAACAATGATAACTAATATAAAAGAGAAGGCCCTTCAGGCGTTTCCAAGTATTCGGAAGCAAACACGACAGTTCTTAATAAACTTAATCCTGATACCTAATCCCAAATTCTTGACACAAGGATATTCACTGGATATTCCCCATCTTAACTTACAACAGCGAGGCAAGGGGGATGTGCACCGAGCAAGATTTTAAAAAAATGGGATAGATCCCCAATAGAAAAAATTCACCTAAAATTCTTTAAACGTTATTCACGAGTAAACAATAAGGCCTCTAACATAGCTTGCAGAGCTAAACTTGGTAGATTGCCGCTGCTTATCCCGAGAAATCAAAACATTATGAAGTATTTTGTTTATCGAACCACCAACGATAAGGACTCTATAATCAAACAGTCTTTCCTTATGTCAAAGAATGTACATTCTATGAATAATTTCGGATATTATTGCAAATTCATAAACATGTTTGAACAATACAATCTAACCAGTTTAGATACAGAATCTTTAGATAATGATTAAATTGGACGATATACCACAGAAATGAGAGAGAAATATCCGCTATCTTTTTTGCGACACAGTCTTGAAAATTAAAAAAAAAATGAAATTTTATAAAACTTTTAAATATGAATATTCTACAACTGATTATCTCTACCAGCTAAGACATTATGATGAATGACAACATTTTGGTCCAGTTTAAAATAAGTAATCACAAACTTCTGATTGAACAAGGTCGATACCAAATAGATCATTTGTCACCTGCTACTACACCTACTACAGCTACTACAGATACTACACGTACTACAGATACTACAGCTACTACAGCTACTACACCTACTACAGCTACTACAGTTACTACACCTACTACAGCTACTACACCTACTACAGCTACTACAGTTACTACACCTACTACAGCTACTACAGATACTACACGTACTACAGATACTACAGCTACTACAGGTACTACAGGCACTACAGCTACTACAGGTACTACAGCTACTACGGCTACTACAGGTACTACAGCTACTACAGCTACTACGGCTACTACAGCTACTACAGCTACTACACCTACTACAGCTACTACAGGTACTACAGCTACTACGGCTACTAAAGGTACTACAGCTACTACAGCTACTACAGGTACTACACCTACTACAGCTACTACAGGTACTACAGCTACTACGGCTACTACAGGTACTACAGCTACTACGGCTACTACAGCAACTACAGCTACTACAGGTACTACACCTACTACAGGTACTACAGATACTACAGCTACTACGGCTACTACAGCTACTACAGCTACTACAGGTACTACAGGTACTACGGCTACTACAGCTACTACAGGTACTACACCTACTACAGGTACTACAGGTAATACAGGTATATACTACAGGTACTACAGCTACTACACCTACTACAGGTACTACAGGTAATACAGGTACTACAGCTACTACAGCTACTACGGCTACTACAGCTACTACAGCTACTACAGGTACTACAGCTACTACAGCTACTACGGCTACTACAGCTACTACAGCTACTACAGCTACTACAGCTACTACAGGTACTACAGCTACTACAGCTACTACAGCTACTACAGGTACTACAGGTACTACAGGTACTACGGCTACTACAGCTACTACAGCTACTACAGGTACTACACCTACTACGGCTACTACAGGTACTACATGTACTACAGGTACCACAGGTACTACGGCTACTACAGCTACTACAGGTACTACAGCTACTACAGCTACTACAGGTACTACAGCTACTACAGCTACTACAGCTACTACAAGATAAGATATTACATAATTCCCAAATTGGCTTTTTGCCTGAAAACCGCACTGCAGACCATGTTTTCACTCTAAGGACCCTAATAGATAAATATGTGCATTATCACAAGGAAAAAGTCTACGCTTGTTTCGTAGATTTCCGCAAAGCGTTTGACTCTGTTTGGCACGAAGGATTGTTTTATAAGCTGCTAAAAACGAATATAGGAGGAAACTTGTACAACCTCATGAAAAGCCTTTATTGCAACTCGACATGTTCCATCAAAATCGGTGAAAACAAAACACAGCCTTTTTCATATTCCAGAGGTGTACGTCAAGGCTGTATTTTAAGTCCTCTTTTATTTAACCTCTATTTAAACAATCTACCACTTTTATTCGAAAACACCTTATCTGACCCATTTGTTCTCCCAAATGGGAAAAAAATAAATTCACTTTTGTACGCAGATGATTTAGTTATTCTATCAAGATCGAAAACTGGATTACAGAACTGTTTAAATGCGCTTTCTTTGTATTGTGACAAATGGAAGCTAAAAATTAATCCCAAGAAAACAAAAATTATGATATTCCAGAAACGCAAAAAAAAATCTATTGACATCAAATTCAACATAGGCAGTGAGTCAATTGAAATTGTCCAAGAATACACTTATTTAGGTACACGTTTAACTCCAACGGGAAACTTTACACTTGCACTCGAACACTTAAAAGAAAAGGCCCTTCACGCGTTTTCTAGTATTCGGAAGCGGACAATTCTTAACAAACTTAATCCTAATACTGCATCCCAAATTTTTGACACCATGGTATTCCCAATCTTGAGTTACAACAGCGAGGTATGGGGAATGTACACCAAGCAAGATTTTAAAAAATGGGATAGCTACCCAATAGAAAAAATCCACCTCAAATTCTGTAAACGTTACTTAGAGGTTAACAATAAGGCCTCTAACATAGCCTGCAGAGCTGAACTTGATAGACTGCCGCTGCTTATCCCGATAAATCAGAAAATTATGAAATATTTTGTTTACCTCAACAACAAAGATAATGACTCTATAGTCAAACAGTCTTTCCTTATGTCAAAGAATCTACATTCTATGAATAATTCCGGATATTTTTCCAATTTCATAAACATGCTTGAACAATACAATCTAACCAGTTTAGATGCTGAATCTCTAGATAATGATAAAATTAGACGATATACCACAGAAATGAGAGAGAAATATCTATCTTTTTGGCGGCACAGCCTCGAAAATTCAAAAAAACTAAAATTTTATAAAACTTTTAAAGATGAATATTCTACATCTGATTATCTCTACCAGCTAAGACATTATGACGAACGACAGAATTTTGTTAAATTTAAAATAAGTAATCACAAACTTATGATTGAACGTGGTCGATACCAAATCGATCATTTGCAAAGAGAAAATAGATTATGTCCTTTATGTAACTCAAATCAGGTAGAAGATGAGATTCATTTCCTCTTTCAATGTAACAAATTCTCAGTACAGAGACAGGCATTTATTAATCAAATCAATCGAATAATACCTGACTTTGACAAGAAATCATCTCCGGAAAGCATACAACTGATAATGAATTCGAAGGAACATCATGTAAATAAGTTAGTTATGAAGTTTGTCTCCTCCTGCATGAAAATACGTGATTCATTGTTAGTAATGTAACCGAATTTTTCTAGATTGTTATTAGTGCTGTTTTGTTTTTTATTTTGATTGTCATATACATGCTTTTGCAATACTGTAAAGTGATGCGGTCATGCAAATAAAGCAATTTATTACTATTACTGCTACTACAGGTACTACAGGTACTACACCTACTACAGGTACTACAGCTACTACAGCTACTACAGCTACTACAGCTACTACGGCTACTACAGCTACTACAGGTACTACAGCTACTACAGCTACTACAGGTACTACACCTACTATAGGTACTACAGGTACTACAGCTACTACAGCTACTACGGCTACTACAGCTACTACAGCTACTACAGGTACTACAGGTACTACAGTTACTACAGCTACTACAGCTACTACAGGTACTACAGGTACTACAGCTACTACAGCTACTACAGCTACTACAGCTACTACGGCTACTACAGCTACTACAGGTACTACAGCTACTACGGCTACTACGGCTACTACAGCTACTACAGGTACTACAGGTACTACAGATACTACAGCTACTACAGCTACTACAGCTACTACAGCTACTACAGCTACTACAGGTACTACACCTACTACGGCTACTACAGGTACTACAGGTACTACAGCTACTACGGCTACTACAGCTACTACAGCTACTACAGCTACTACAGCTACTACAGGTACTACAGGTACTACAGCTACTACAGCTACTACAGCTACTACAGCTACTACGGCTACTACAGCTACTACAGGTACTACAGCTACTACGGCTACTACGGCTACTACAGCTACTACAGGTACTACAGGTACTACAGATACTACGGCTACTACAGCTACTACAGCTACTACAGCTACTACAGCTACTACAGGTACTACACCTACTACGGCTACTACAGGTACTACAGGTACTACAGCTACTACGGCTACTACAGCTACTACAGCTACTACAGCTACTACAGCTACTACAGGTACTACAGGTACTACAGCTACTACAGCTACTACAGCTACTACGGCTACTACAGCTACTACAGCTACTACGGCTACTACAGCTACTACAGGTACTACAGCTACTACAGCTACTACGGCTACTACAGCTACTACAGGTACTACAGGTACTACAGGTACTACAGGTACTACGGCTACTACAGCTACTACAGGTACTACACCTACTACGGCTACTACAGGTACTACAGGTACTACAGCTACTACGGTTACTACAGGTACTACAGCTACTACAGCCACTACAGGTATCATTGTGTCTACTAGGGTACAGCCACTACAGCACTGACAGCGGTGGGCGGTGGCCCGGGACATTTTGGGCAGTCTTACACCAAGTACTACCCCCTGTGACTGTATTGGAGCGTTTTCCCTGATGGGTTTTTGGAGGATTTTACAGAAGTTTGAAGTGTGTTCGAAACTTTCCTCGGTCAACGCATATTTTCATATGTTGGAGAGCTAGAAAGCCTGGGACAAGGCTGAAAGCACAATCAGGGAGTTCGAAGAAGGACAGTAGCAACAAGAATGTACGGTGGCTCTGAGGAGGTGGTACCTCAGAGCTACCGTATTTTCGAGCTTCTGAGGTAAGGTGTTATTTGCAGTTCTTTCAAAGGCGTTTTTATATAATCACAAACTTCTGATTGAACAAGGTCGATACCAAATAGATCATTTGTCACCTGCTACTACACCTACTACAGCTACTACAGATACTACACGTACTACAGATACTACAGCTACTACAGCTACTACACCTACTACAGCTACTACAGTTACTACACCTACTACAGCTACTACACCTACTACAGCTACTACAGTTACTACACCTACTACAGCTACTACAGATACTACACGTACTACAGATACTACAGCTACTACAGGTACTACAGCTACTACAGCTACTACAGCTACTACAGCTACTACGGCTACTACAGCTACTACAGGTACTACAGCTACTACGGCTACTACGGCTACTACAGCTACTACAGGTACTACAGGTACTACAGATACTACGGCTACTACAGCTACTACAGCTACTACAGCTACTACAGCTACTACAGGTACTACACCTACTACGGCTACTACAGGTACTACAGGTACTACAGCTACTACAGCTACTACAGCTACTACAGCTACTACAGCTACTACAGCTACTACAGGTACTACAGGTACTACAGCTACTACAGCTACTACAGCTACTACGGCTACTACAGCTACTACAGCTACTACGGCTACTACAGCTACTACAGGTACTACAGCTACTACAGCTACTACGGCTACTACAGCTACTACAGGTACTACAGGTACTACAGGTACTACAGGTACTACGGCTACTACAGCTACTACAGGTACTACACCTACTACGGCTACTACAGGTACTACAGGTACTACAGGTACTACAGCTACTACGGTTACTACAGGTACTACAGCTACTACAGCCACTACAGGTATCATTGTGTCTACTAGGGTACAGCCACTACAGCACTGACAGCGGTGGGCGGTGGCCCGGGACATTTTGGGCAGTCTTACACCAAGTACTACCCCCTGTGACTGTATTGGAGCGTTTTCCCTGATGGGTTTTTGGAGGATTTTACAGAAGTTTGAAGTGTGTTCGAAACTTTCCTCGGTCAACGCATATTTTCATATGTTGGAGAGCTAGAAAGCCTGGGACAAGGCTGAAAGCACAATCAGGGAGTTCGAAGAAGGACAGTAGCAACAAGAATGTACGGTGGCTCTGAGGAGGTGGTACCTCAGAGCTACCGTATTTTCGAGCTTCTGAGGTAAGGTGTTATTTGCAGTTCTTTCAAAGGCGTTTTTATATAAGGATTAGAGTCATGGCACAGATAAGCTCAAGCTGGGCTAGCTCTAGTCTTGTTTTTATAGATCGTGAAGTTGTGAGCTTTTTTGATTTTGCTACAAATTGTAAGTTAAGTTACTGCTTAAGCTTATTTACCGAACCGGACTTGTGAAAATGACCGTAACAAGAAAAAACTGAAGCATTGTTCATGGGGATTTTGAAGTCTTCCTTTAGAAAATAATATATAAACACTTGATTTAGAAAATAATAACCTATTTCAAAGTTTAGGCTGAAGAGTTTACTGTATCATGAGGGCTCTCAAAATTAGCAAATTTAGGGATTAGTGCAGTCATTCAGGCAGCAGACTGCATGATTCCCTGAAAGTGGCTAAGAATAATAATGTGGAAATTCAAAGTGGATGTGTTTTGCTTTTGATTTGGAAGATGATGCTGTTAGACTTTTTTGGATCAAAATTCTGCAAGAAATGTGAGCACAGTTTAGCCTGCTTTCAATTTTTTATTTGGTCAACTCTCTATGGACACCTCTGGGATCAGAAAAAAGGGTCTGTCTTAAAGAGATGTCCGTCTTTTAGAGAATCATATAAAAGAAGGAGAGCGAAGTAGGGACCAGCTCTAGCTGTCCAATTTATGGTGTAGCAAGATGTCCGTCAAGGGATTTTGTATTTTAAAATTTAGCATGAGAGCTACAGTACTCCTGGACTCACTACCATGCTGAATTTCAATATATACAAATGTATAAAGAGGTCGTTTTGTGGATGAGAGGGCACATATGTCCCTAGACTAAATTTCAAATACTTTCAATTAACATAGTTTCACGTTTTTGCATTTCTGTATTCAGCCCATCGTTAACTGTGTTTGTTGTCACTTAGTCTTCTGTCACTGTTTCAAGGCAAGGTTGCTTATTAGAATTTTGCCCTATCAGAGCCTCTAGAAGGTGGGCTATTTCAATACTACAGTTAAAATGTTAACCTGCAAAGAAGTGTTGATACCAGTGGGGTTAATTTTTTCATACTCACATATTGAATATGTTGTGGCCTGCTTAAGGCAGCACACAGAAACTTTTGGCATACAGTAAAACCCCATGACTCAGAACCTGGATTTTAAGAGCCTGTTAGGCGAAAATGAGCCAGTTAAGCCCCCCTTCTACACTGTATATAAGAACCTGTTAAGCCTAAAATTTGAAACAGGTTCTTATCTAATTATGGAAAAAATTCTGTACAGTTAGGTAAATATCAGATAAGTCAGCATTCAGAATTTTCTTTGGAGACATAGGTGCCTTGTCACTCCAACTGAAATTTATATGCCAATGAGGTCAATGCTTTAGCTCCTTATCTGGTCATTTTTACATAACTTCTAATTTGGTATGCCGATTTTTTTTTCTTGGGAGGGTGTCTGTACAAACTGTTGAGGCCACCACATTGTCACTGCATGACCATTGTGTGACATAGCATCTCATGAGAGAGTTAAACATAAACTCATCTGAACATTGTACCCTTTTGAAAGACTTTCGTAACAAGAAAAATGAGTACCATTTTTAAATCGAGGCTGTAACTTTTCAAATTCCACCATTATGAATCAAAGTAAGCAAGTTAGCCATTCTAAGCAGGTATTAAACAATAAGCGTTATTTTCACGCACCCCTGCCCCAATCCCTCTGCCCCCCGAAATAAAGTGTGACAGTATTACGTGACTGATTTGATCTAACCAGAAATTCCAAAAATTATTGTTGTTCTATGGGTCATAAAACACTATTAATGATCAGTACATATCTCAATTCTGGTTCTTAAGACTAACAAAGCAAATTAAATTTAGGTTTCATTTTTGTTTGATATTGCATTTAAAGCCTTTCTAACTGTCCTAGTAAACATATACATAAATTTTTTTTGGACATGGTGATCTAGAATGAGCAAGGAATGGCATTTCATATGCAAAGCAAGAATTGCAATAAGATAAAAAGAGACATTGGTCGTCACATTTTAAACGGTTTAAACTTCAACATAAAGCAATGACAAACCTCAAAGCAACCCATCCTACCATCGTTTGTAAAATGCACTGAAAAAAAGTGCCAATGATAGCTTGAGAGATATCTTTATTCAATGGATGTACACACACACACACACCCACACTAGAGCTCTACACAGAGAGAGAGAGATTTGAAATCACGTTTTGGAAGGGAAAAAACTCATCAAAAGGTTTAAACTTGAACAAAAATTAAACTAAGAAAAACCACAAAAGGTACTCATCATAGCATCTTTTGAAGGAGACGATGAAAAAGCATATTACGCTAGCTTCAAACACATCTTCATTTAATTGCTGCCTTTGCTTAATGTGCTTTATAGTTAATAATTTATAGTGTTTATCACCATAAGTAAAAACAATGAAAATTTTCGGGGGAGTTTTCCCTTACATTTGTCTCATAGGTATTGCGTGATCTGAAATAAGGTCTAGGGACAGGATTTGGAGAGCAAAACAACACAGCCCCCCACCATGAAGTCCCAGGAATACTCCCCCAGATTTGTCGGTAGTTAATAATAATATTAATATTATTATTAATATTAACTACTAACTTATTATTGATAGCGTACATTTTGTGAACAGAAAATCGCGGTGGGGAACTGCCTTACATTTGCCTAATAGGTATTGGTGTGAAATAGGTCTAGGGTCAGGATTTGAAGAGTAGACGTCACACCCCCACCGGGAATTGCTAGAAATACACATAAGAGAAAAAATCGAAGGCATTTTATGAACTGGGCCCGCTTTTTGGCAAGCCAGTTAATAATAAGCTGACCCACTATATACTCTCAGCTGTATTGCATTTTTTTTCTTAAGAACCTAAATAGCCTTAACTTATGCTAACTGCATGTATATGTACCATTTCTATAAGAACCTTTTTAGGCTAACTCTGTCTCGAATATAAAATGCAAAAACATTGTCCACAAAATTTCAAAGGTGCTAAAACCGACACCAGAAGCCTATTACCCTCTGAAGCTTCCTGTAAACTAGCTTACAAATCATGTCTAACCCAAAGCACCTCTATCCCTTGTAAAAGTTAGGAAAAATTGCTGGCAGACTGCAACTCTTGTGACTTTGACACGATTGATTGGGGTAAGTCATATACCCTTGCTTTTCTATATACCAACGAATCTAAATTACATGTTTTTCAATTTAAATTTCTATATAGAAAATTGGCAACAAAGTGTTTCCTTTTAAAAACTTGAATCAAATCTAATGATCAATGCAGTTTCTGCAAAGAAAGCTCGGAAACTCTTTTGCCCCTCTTTTGACAATGTCCTTTGGTTAAATCCTTTTGGAATGAAATTGGTAACTGGATGAAAAACAGCTCTTGCTTTCTTAACGAAGAATTCTCTGTTTTGTCTTGCATAGGCCTAGTAAACGATACTACAAACCTGCTTTTCCATCATGCACTTTTAATCGTGAGGTATCACATCTATTTCTCCAAACAAAAAGGCCTTAACCCTTCATGAGAACTCTTTTTTCAAACCATTCTAAATTGTCTTGATTATGAAAGACTGGGATTTTAAGAAAATTCAATGCACAATGGGGAGCATTTATCTGGGAAAATGATCTTTACTCTTTAATTCCTTTGTCGAGATGTGCAGAGAACAGCAATCATGCTAACTCTCTACAGGCTCTTTTGATGTTCCTCGGCAGATAATCAGTAAATGTTCGTAGTGCATGTGTGTGTGTGGGTGCGCGTGAGTACGCAAGAACTACTTAATAAGTTACTTTGGCTACTCTGTATTATAGACCTGGATTGTTTAAGTAATTACTGTATAGTAGCAATGTAATCATTTATTTATATGCTTTGTAAGTAACGTAAATCAGTGATGCAAATAAATAAATTTCAAAAAAACTTGGAAAAATCTAGGTTCTTATTCGTGGGGGCAGTATACATTGCCATTTTTAGAGTTACCAATGTTGTGAACTGTCATGCTGTACAGCCAGCTCCTATATCCATCCAAGACATTTGATCCTTGAGTCACTATGTATCAGATAAACAAGGGTAAACAAGGTGTATTATGGGTAGTGTGAAAGAGGCAGATAAAAAGGACTTTGATATCAAACAATTATTTTTAAATAATGTACAAATGTAGCAACTGTGCAGGCTGAAGACCTTACACAAATGTACTCATACAGTGTACAACATAAATCTACACTGCTTGGTTTGGTCTTTTTTATGAAGAATAGTGCACTGTTAGAGCACCACGTTTACAGCTGAATTATGCT